ATTACAGTTTGTGTTGAGAGTGCTGATATGATAGGTGATGCATTTGTAGATAAAATCCCTGTATGTAAGTGCTACGAGGAACACTCACTTTTAAAATGTTACAGAATTGAACATGAACATTTCAAAGTGTTTTTTCTTGAGTATAGCAGTAATACTGCTCCTTTTGATCACAGTCTTTACCTTGGTGCTGGTTTGTATTTTGCCTTGGGTGTGCAGTTTGAAGCTTGTATCTGTTAAGTTAAATAGTAGGTTTACAACTGATTTCAATTTCTGCAGGCTTTTCCATTTACTGTAATTCTTATGTAGAATTTGCTTTTCCTTCTTTTAGGTACGTGCTGTTAGACCTCAGGTTCTGATGAGGCTCTCAAAGACCAAGAAGCATGTCAGCAGAGCTTATGGTGGTTCCATGTGTGCAAAATGTGTGCGTGACAGGTAAGGTGATAGGAGTGTTTGCTTCTGTTAACGTTTTTGTGTTGATCTGAAAATTGAGCATTTTTAATGTAGTGACAAGCCTACAAGCTGATATGTTCTCACACCTGGGCTGGAGTTCAAAGTATTATAGTATTAAGTATAGGGCTGGGCGATATGGCCAAAAACATTATCACGATAAAAATGTTCATATCAGTCGATATCGATAATTATCACGATAAATGTCAAATCATAATTTCTTTCAAGTTTAAGGCAGATTTTTTCTTGTGAGTGAAAGTTGAAGAAACCAGACAGTTAATTGGTAAAATAAACAACTTTTTATTTTAAGAACACAACAAACACTTGCCAAACAGCAGAAACATTAAACAAATCTGTTAGCTGCCTGGTCTGCAACATATACGCGCACTCGCTCAGTATTTTGTGGGCATGCGCATATCATAAACATATATATCGAACGTTTATCGAACTTTTGTTAAAATTATATCGAGGTAAATTATATCGCGATAATTATCGTTATCGAATTATCGCCCAGCTCTAATTCAGTATTAAAGTGATCAGTAAGTGTAGTCTCATGCAAATGCATAGCATCTGGTATTTTAAAGGAAATTGGTTACCCTTTAGAATTAAACTGGTGGTATTGTAAATTGAAAGCTTTTATTTTAATAAGAATGAGAAACCTTGTAAAGACTATAGTTTTGAATACTTGTCCTAACTTCAGAACACCTCTGTAAAATACCTTTTTTGGATGTTTCACATAGGAACACTTCTTTTGTAAAATTGTAATTTGTGTATTGTTTACTTAATGATCATCAAAGTTTAATTTCATACAGGTCTGTCTTAAGTAGCTCTGGCAGTTTTGTGTAATGTGGTCTTTACAGGGGACAATTCAGAAGCCATTAGTGCTGTTTTATGGAATGATTTTGAATCTATAAAAAGTCTGTCAATACTTGTCCCCTCTTGACTTAATGATAGATAGCTTGTCTGCTGTGATCATAATCTATCTCTTTAGCGAAAGCTGTAGTTCACAGAAATATTCCTGGGTAGCCAGTCCAGTGACATATCCTAATTGTTTCACACTTGCAACATTTTATTGTTAATGAATGACTAGACAGCAGATGTGGGACATAAGTTAAAAGTTAAAAGATCTGGAAATTCCTATCCTTTTAAAAAACCTTATTATTTATTCCATTGTATTCACATTTATTAAAATTTGATATCTGTGATAGGTTATTCTCAAGAGTTCGGGATTGAAAAGCATGACCCTATTAAACCCACTGCTGAATACAAGATTTAGTCTTTTCCAGTTTGTAAAAATGCCTAATTTAATATAGAAGTTTTAGTTTTTCTTGGTGTGGTTGTGTTCTGTAGGAAAGCTGCTGCTACAATTAAATGAAGTGTTAAAATTCCTCTTTGTCAAGGAAGTTTAATATGTTCACTAAAGCCGTCAATAATTGAAACCATGTATAAATCCTAATTTAACTATTTGTGTTCTATTTCCACAGAATCAAACGTGCTTTCTTAATTGAGGAGCAGAAGATTGTTGTCAAAGTGCTGAAGGCACAGGCACAGAGCCAGAAGTCAAAGTAAATGTCTGTATTTGTAATGCCACAATAAATAACTTTAAAAAAATAACCATGTGGTCCTTCTGTTGTCATTGTTTTTTTTGTGGTTGGAATGTGCAGTATAGTATGAATTCTTTGTAAGCTATTTATGTTTTTTGTAGGTGATACTATGTTTTTAATTCAATGACTTACAGTTAAGGGGATAATTCTTTAATACGCTCTGACACCATTAAACAGGTCTCTATCTTTGGGCCTGGAAGAGCCTTATTTATGCCACTCAAGAAACGGCTTTCTGACTGACATCTTGTTCTGGATTGAAATTAAGTTAATTTCGGTTCATGGGCATTTGAAGTCCAACTTAATTGCAATTAGATCAATAATTGATCACAGTTACATTGTTGTACGTCTTGGAACTTGGCTTTAATGGTTGCCTGAAAATTTTGGAAAGTTCCCCAGGACGAGGCCAGACGTCTTCTGATAAGCTGCGTTAATGCTCTTTATGGTAAAGAATGGCCATGTTGTTCAGGTGCAAGATAAAATTTTTAAATCTGCATCTGTTGATATGGGGTCATGTTAATAGTTTAAATACAATTGTTATAAAACCAACTAATGGCTCTTTGGACCTGTGTGGTGTTTTTAAGATAGTAACAAACTATAGAAAGTGGTAAAGTAAATTTATGAAGTGTTAGGCAAAAGTTTAACAGGTGAGAAATAATTATAATTCCTTAAATTTGCATAGAGCTTTCCTGGACACCCCACTGGGCATTTCTGCAGGTAATGAGTACTTCCCACCACAACCAGTGTGTAGCACCACCTGGGTAATGCAACGGCAGTTGAAGTACACCAGTACTCTCGCTACACATCAGCTATCGGAGGGGTGGAGAAAGAGTACTGACACCTTTTCATAGTTGGGGATTATTAGGAGGCCAGGACACTGCGGTTAACGCATTCTATTTTTGAGAAACACCTTGGGATTTTGATCACGGAGGGCCAGAACTTCGGTTTTACATCTCATCCGAAGGACGGTGCTTTTTTACAGTATAGTGTCTCCATCAATTTACAGAGCAATTAGGACCCAAATAGACCACAGGGTGAACACTCCCTACTTGTCCCATTAACGCCTCTTTCAGCAGCAACCTTACCTTTCCGAGGAGGTCTCACATTTGGCCACAAACTATCAAAATTGGCTAGATGGGCCATTGTAAGCTTCAGAGGAACAAGTAAATAATAATAATTGCTTACACTCAAAGCACTTTACAGATAATGGGGACTCCCCTCCACCACCACCAATGTGCAGCACCCACCTGGATGATGTGACAGCAGCCGTAGTGCGCCAGAATGCTCACCACACATCAGCTATTGGTGGGGAGGGGAGCAGAGTAATGTAGCCAATTCATAGAGGGGGGATTATTAGGAGGTCATGGGAAATTTGGCCAGGACACCGGGGTACACCCCTACTCTTTTCGAGAAACACCCTGGGATTTTTAATGACCACAGAGAGTCAGGACCTCAATTTTACATCTCATCCAAAGGATGGCGCCTGTTTACAGTATAGTGTCCCCATCACTATACTGGGGCATTAGGACCCACATGGACCGCAGGGTGAGCACCCTCTAACACCTCTTCCAGCAGCAACCTTAGTTTTTCCCAGGAGGTCTCCCAACCAGGTACTGACCAGGCTCACACCTGCTTAGCTTCAATGGGCTGCCAGCTGTGAGTTGCAGGGTGATATGGCTGCTGGCTAAAGGTTTCAAAAAAAGCAACATTTGGGCTTTGAAGCTGTGTTTCATTTCTTCTCTTTTCAGCATGGAATAAACCTTTACTTGTTCCTTTGCAGCCTATGCATACTGATGCAGCTACCCACCTGAACTATATTTGTAACCTTTATGTTTATAAATAATGAAGGAAAACTAATAAATAAAATCAGCCTGTTGTGAGCTGGGCGGTGATAATATCTGCTGGAAATGGCACGTGAGTTTTTTTGTGGCATAGCTCTGGTGAAAGTAATACATCTGTTCAACATGATAGGATATACAAATATTAATAAAACAAGACAATCTATACAACATACTGTACAATGTTGCACAACAAATGCCAGTTACACAACAACAAGTGCCAGTCAGTGTGTTTTATAGTCCTACTGTATGTTCTACAGACCTAGAAACCCAGTGCTCTAATCCTGTAATCTGAAATCACTATACAACACCGTAACAGGCCAAAAAGAGAACAACTCTGGGTCCTTATTAAATATGACTAATCCTAATCTAAAAGAATACAACTGAAATCTAAATCGATCTTCCTACAAAGTGGATGCCCAAAAGTGAATGGGAATCAATATCTCTATTCTAAAGATATATCACCATTCCACAACAAAGCAAAGATGACTTTCTTAAGTTCTAATAATAATGTTCAGATCACTTAGCTGGAATTTCATCTCCAGGACTGATCAGAACACGGTTCTCTCACATGGAGCAAGCTTGCATCTCCCATTTCTCTCTCCTTTGCTTTCTCTTTCTTGTCTTTCTTGGTGGTAAATTTAAAGTTATGGATTTGATATTACTAGAGAGAAAAATAAGATAAAACGCTATTGAAGAGGTTTCAAAGCACATTCTAACAAATGTATTTCATTTTACCAAATATTATAAAATATTTGCCTTGGTAAAAAGCATGCTTTATATTCGGTTACTCTTGTTAGAATGTTCTAAATATATTTAATGTGCATCCTTTTACATAATGTTGTCTTGTTTTGTCTAGCATCAGTAAAGAGCCTAAAGTGGTTTCAGAAAATTTAGGTAAGGACAGGAGGTGACCCAGTCTTATAAGATTAAAAACTAGTGACTTCCGCAGTCTACTCGAGTGTAAACATCAAGCATATTTTTCCTTTCAGTTATGTAAGAATTCTAACATTAATACGGGTGAGGGTGTGAGCTTTTGTCTCCAACCAAGGTTCACACCTAGTGGTAATAATAGAAATTCCATAGGTACCTTTTTGTCACCTATCGTAAATCCCAATCAACATTAAATACACGTAACTTCACTGACGCTTTCAAAAAAGTACCAGTAAAAAAACAAGACGCATCGAACACATAACCGCGTAATTGTGCACAAATAAATGAACTGAAAGCTCTAGAAACTAGGAAGGAATTATCTACGTACTTAGATTACTTAAGCGTGCAACTACAGTCAGCACTTCTGAAAAGTTGCATAGTAATGCAGCACTGCATTATTAATCTTAAATCACTCGTTAAGTCATTTAATGTATGAATATTTCACCATTTCCGTTGTCCCTGAAAAAAAAAATAGTACTTAATATACTTGAGCACGGTTAACATTTCTATGAAACTACATTTCCCAGAGTTATTTTAGTTTGGACACCATTTCGGCTCAAATATGATCTGCAATTAAAGTATATACCACGTAGTAACATTTGGAGCCATCATGGCAGACTACAAATCGTTTCAGTCTCGCCACGTCAACCACAAGAGGTCATATAAGGTGTTTAAAACAGGAATGAGATAATCAAGTCTATTTTTTATATTTAGCTTAACAACGAGCTCAGTGTATTTTAATTAATTCAATGAAATATGAACTCCAGTATCACTGTAAATTACTTTATTTAAGTATTTATTATTTATATTTTACTGGTCTTCCAGGACTTGTACTTCCGGGACACGTCTGGGTTTGCTTTGCAGCTTCGCGGAGTGGTGTATTGGAGTTCAAGACAGAGCTGATTTCTACATTTTAAAGTATTTTTAACTGTAACTGTTTGGAAGCAGAATGGAGACTCTTTATGGTCTTCCGTTTACTGTACTGGAGTGTCCGAATATAAAACTAAAAAAGCCTTCATGGCTGCATATGCCTTCAGCAATGACTGTCTATGCATTAGTAATTGTTTCGTACTTTCTTATCACGGGAGGTAAGCGTCAATTTAAATTGGTAAAAAATGAATGGAAAATGTATTTTATGTGAATGGGTGAAAGGCATACTGTGTTTGAAAACGTGATGTAAATAAAATATGCAATCTTGATTAATACTGCTGATTTAGGTATAAATATAGTAAAGGCCTATATTTGTAATAGACTTTTATTGAAACGCTCTAGGGAAGTAACATTATTCTCTGCATTTTTGGAAAGCGCTACAGTATTCTATATTAAAATATTTGTGTTGTGCACAACGCGACTATGTTTCTTTGGAAAAAGCTCTGCAGTGTAGTCAACATCGGGCTTGTGTAAATCTTGAGAGGTGTTGAAAAACTTTACTTTCGAGACTGGACAGTTTCTGACACCTGACATGCACTCTTTACTTATAAAAGTTCCCCCGACGCCTTGAGTGTTGTCGAACTCCATAGGAGATGAATATATTGAGCTCTGCTTTTTCCATATTTTGCTTCTACACTTAATGAAATCCATTGCCTTTGTGAAAACACGTTACACGGTTTTGCAAGAAAAGTTCTTTTCCTGTGATTGATATCTGTTTTAATTTTTGTACAGGCATAATCTATGATGTCATTGTCGAACCTCCCAGTGTAGGATCCATGACAGATGAACATGGCCATCAGAGGCCAGTAGCCTTTCTGGCGTACAGGTAATGGCCTTCTGTTTATGGCAGAGATATTGTTTACATTATAACTGTAACATAATTAATGGTTAGCTATATTTTATCTGTAATACATAAAATGTGCCAATGCTTGTCTATGACTGCAGAAAAACCTGACCATACTTTTGCTTCAATGTAACAGATACTTCTGTAAAAACCTCACAACCCCTTTGTTGTAACATAACTGACTAATATTTTTATATAATTTTTGTAATGGTGGTCATGAACATATTTCAGTCCAAAAGAAATCTCAGCATTTTGGAACTGTGATATTATTGTTTTTAGTAATGTTGAATGTTCCACTACAAAAATCATATATTTCAGCCTCTTGTCAATAATGAGGTCATATCCAGTAATGGCTTATGTATGAAATGCTTTCTTGACTTTTCTTATGAATAGAGACTTCTGTAAAAACCTCGTTTTACATTAAACTAGATGTCTAGGTTTCTTTGCAACATTCTTTGGAATACAAAACATTAATTCTTGTGCCAGGCGCAGGACATCAATGTAAATGAGTATGTTCACAAAAGTCTGGTTATGAAACTAATGAACTTTTACTTTAAACTTTCCCATTGAAAGTATCTTAAACGAAGTTTTGTCTTGGTATTGGATACCAAAGGTTTTGCAGGAACCTTATCTATATTCACGATTGATTTCCATTTTCTTTTTAGAGTTAACGGGCAGTATATCATGGAAGGTTTAGCTTCCAGTTTTCTGTTCACCATGGGAGGTCTGGGCTTTATTATCCTGGATCGTTCCAATGCTCCAAACATTCCAAAACTCAACCGATTCCTGCTGCTCTTCATTGGATTCGTTAGTGTCCTGCTCAGCTTCTTCATGGCAAGAGTTTTCATGAGAATGAAACTTCCGTAAGTTCCTTTTTTACTTTTGTTAATGTATCCTTATGGAGCAAAGCCATCAGCACTGTTGTCTTCTCACTTCAATCAAATCATGCTTTGCATTTATGGATATATTAATGATTTCAGGGTATTCCACATTGTGTTAAATCATTTTGAACATTTTGTGAAAGCTATTTCATTTCTCATTTGACCTTTTTTTATTTTTCATCCGCAGTGGATACCTTATGGGGTAAAGATGCACCGGGTTAAAGGATCGGGAGTGAGTCTGTTGCAAGGATTTGAATCATCATAAAGACATTGGTGCAAAGTGCAAAATCCCTGAAAGAGAGGCGAAGGACTACCTGACCAACCTGTTGGGAACACTGCATTTAATTCGAAGCGGTCTGATCAAACTTGATTTAAGCTATATTTTTGGTAATTGTCAATACACTAAATGCCCTTGTAATGTTAATTGTTGCAATGTGCCAATAAATAATCAGGTGGCATTTTGTAATGAGTTAAAAGTCCCACACTTTTGAAGTTTAGAAGAATACAATAAAGTAGCACAAAATAAGTTTGTAAATGCATTATTTCACGTTATAAATTAACTAGGCTGTTTATGTTAAGTGAAACTCTTAAGGACAATGGGTTTAATTTCCTACCACAATCATGTTCAAGCTAAAATAAGTATAATTGCAGTGGAGCTTGGCACATTGTTTGTAATATTCTTTGTTTTCTTAAAGAATGCAATGAAATCCTTTAGGTAAAGGTCTCACTCGGTCTCCTGAGATGTCTACTGTGGTGTTCAGATTGTTTTGCTATTGTAAATTTGTTTTCTAAAAAGAAACAAATAAATGTTTGTACTTTATGGAATTTGTCCAGATTTATCAAATACCTGTGCCTTGGCTTTGAACAGTTTTACCATGGGAAAGCTAGAGTAAGTGATTATTTTAGCTAAACAGTTATTCAAGGAGTACCGCATATCCATACTGTTAAGAGCAAAAGAAATATAAATGAAATATTTGCCTCTTTGTCTTTAAGAAAGCAATAGGGTTGGAATGTAAAATGGGGAAAGTAAACAAATTATTCAAGGAAATGTTCATGTGTTGCAAATACACCAGTTATTCTGTTCCAGCATTCTGTAAACAAAGATTGGCAAACAACACATCGCTTTTCTGTTTAACAAGCTGTGCTCAGGTCTCGGATGGTTTTTATTTGGGTTGATTCCTTAAAACCCTGATTCCTTAAACTCAATTTGAAACACAGACCAATTATCAATTGTGGACTGCAGTTTCCTTTTAGTTTTTGCACACTTGTTTAAGAAGATTTGATCATTATTTGATGTCTTCCTTATTTAAACCTTTTTTTTCTTTCAAAATTTAGTCTACAACTGAAAGTACAAGTACTTACAAATACTTCATATTTCTTGGAAACAGTGTGTGAGGGGAACCGTGTGTTCACGGAAAGTGTGTGTGGGAGTTGTCCCTAAGGTGAATATAGAACTGGTCTGTGGAGATTCTAAATGCTAATGAACATGGCACATTTTTATTAGTGGTTTATATAAAACCTGTTAAAAGTGGTATTCTTAAAATACAGAATAATTTCTTATTAAAAGTTATTGTGAGAGATAATACCCCTGCTGTTGCAGTTCAGTTACTTTCTCCCTAGGATAAGTAAGGGACTTCTCAAAGTTTAAGCACCCTTCCAACAGCTCCCTCGCCACTCCAAGAGCAGAAATTAATAACTCTGCCCTGAAATAGTTTTCCACGTGCCCGCAGTGCTTGACAAGCAGATAGCGGAACCACAGTATCCTGGGCCATAACTCCACACTGACCTCGGCGACAGACCGGTGTTATATTTGTATTGTATTCTTTGTTGTCATTAATGCTTTAAAAAAAAGTGACACGTTGTTCGGACTTCCTGCTACTTCAGCGGAGTTACCGCTCTGGGCCAATCATCGCAGAGATTCGACGTCCTGCCGTAACCACAGCACACCTGTGGTCCAATCACCGCAGAGATCTCGGATGTCGGCTGAGCAACGCCACCATTGTCCAATCAGTGCAGAGATCTCAGCAGGAGGTGGGAGGGAAGCAGTTTTTGTCCAATCACACAGTGGGACATTACCGAATTGCGGTGGGAGGTTACACTTCCAAAGAATGTCCACCGGGCGGCGACAGAGATACACGAGTCTAGGAAGGTTAGATTTAGATCGCCCATCAATCTCAAACCTGTTGTGGGCAGAAAAAACATTATTTTATTTTATCCGAGTCACGTACATCACGTACATGGTGTTCATCATGTGCTCAGTCTTTTGTTGCTCTGTTAATTCTTTTTTTGTCTTGTTATACTGCAGTGTCTTTTATGTGCATATACCCTTAACTTATGTATTTTATTCTTTAACTTGTAATCATACTAAAAAAAGAAAAGACCCGCAGATGTTTCAGGGTGCGGGGCTCTATGGATGGGTCACATGTCGCTCACAGCACGGACAAAGCGGCTGGATGCTCTGCAGTCACCGTGTCGTGTTACAGTACGTAACTGAGCATCGGAGACCCATTGCAGTGAAATAGATCCTAATTAATAATAACAGGTGCCGCAAGTGTTGATTCTTGGCGACACCAGTCAGACCAACTGGGCTGGTGGAAAAGAGTGACGTCACCCCTGACAGGCGGCTGGTGGACTCGTGCTGATGACGTCTGAAAGAAGTCGCCCACGGCCTTATGGGAAATGTAGGTGTTATACAGTTAGCTATTCTGCATGTTTATTGTAGTAGTAGCAATAGTAATAATAAAAAAATGTGTTATCTATATTATGAACTTTCAAAATATTGAATAATGTTAAATTTCAATCCCAATGGAAATAATAAAAAATATTCTTTGTGATTGACATAATTATTATACAGGTTCAGGTGGGTAACTGCGTCAGTATACATAGGCTGCAAAGGAACAAGTAATAGGTTTATTCCAAGTTGAAAAGAGAAGAAATAAAACACAACGTTTCGGCCGTGGAGCCTTCTCCACCTTGGCAGTAAGCAAAGGTAATGTAGCGGGAGAACAAAAGCTGGGAGTGAGGAGGAGCGATGGGCGGGAGCAGGGGACTGAAAGAGAGGCCAATCAGGATGTGTGAAGTCAGGATAGGTGAAGAGAGGTGTGAAATGAAACCTCCAATGAATAGAGAGAATTTAGAAGAAAGGTAGTCTGTCATTAAGAGAAGGGGGAAGATGTGATCCTAGCTGCAGGATAATTTTGGTTTCTGTAGTCTTTCTGATGTATGAGTTCCGAAAACCATCTTTGAGAACACAGACGGAGAGATAAGAGTGGTCATGGCCGTCAGAAGTGAAATGAGAGACAATGGGCTTGGAGAGATCTTTAATCTTCACAGCCCTAACATGTTCTCTGAAGTGGTCTCTGAGTCTCCATCCTGTTTGTAGCAAATTGTTGTTCCAGTTTGTCCTTGTAATCCTTGTAATTCCTTTTAGCAGATCTTATTGCAGAATTGAGCTGGTTTCTGGCCTGTTTGTAGTGGTCCCTGTCACTATTTTTGTGAGCTGCTTCCTTTGCTTTTCGAAGGACTCTTAATTCCTTTGTGAACCATGGCTTTGCATTGTTGTATTGAACAATAATTTTTGTGGGAATACAAACCCCTTTTTTGGAAGCTAATATATGATGCTGCAGTGCCCGTAAGTTCACTAATGTTGCCACAAGCACTGTTAAGTCCAAACAATCAGCAGTAGTCCAAGTGTGCACAGATTTCTTGTTGGGTTTTGTTGTTTTAAGTTTTTGTTTATATGTAGGAAGTAATTGTAACATTGCGTATAGCACGGGACAAGAGCTTCTGATGAGAACCTGCCTCCTGCCATAGAATGAGAGGTGCTAAACAGGAATGCAAGTCTCTTCCGGTGAGGAGCCTCTGACACAACCCCAAATACTAGGTGTGCATAAAGAATCCTATTCCACAGTTGTGGTGTGAAATTGCCTCCAATCCTTGCACTATGTCCAGCAGCCATATCACCCTGCAACTTACAACTGGCAACCCACTGAAGCTAAGCAGGTGGGAGCCTGGTCAGTACCTGGATGGAAGACCTCCTGGGAAAAACTAAGGTTGCTGCTGGAAGAGGTGTTAGTGGGGCCAGCATGGGGTGCTCACTTTGCGGCCCATTTGGGTCCTAAGGCTTCATTACTCTGCTCTCCTCCCCACTGATAGCTGATGTGTGGTGAGCGTTCTGGTGCACTATGGCTGCTGTTGGTGGTGGTGGAGGGGAGTCCCCATTACCTGTAAAGCGCTTTGATTGGAGTGTTCAGAAAAGTGCTATATAAGTGTAAGCAATTATTATTATATGTGACTGATGGTCAAACAGAGGAGAGGGTAGAGATACCTTTATTATTATTATAAAATGATGGGTTTTGCTGGACTGCAGTCCCCTTGCACTCCACTTTGGATGTGCGGTGGTTTCTACACTGGAAAACTGTTTAAAAACTATTTTTTTAAATCCGTGGTCTACAGATTGTTCAATGGAATGGGTAGGACAAGTGAAGTGCCCCCTCTAATTGCCAACTAGTGGAATTAACCTGAAAAAAATATTCCTGAAACTGCGTTTGGCAGTGATGTGCCAATGGCTACGCTTGGTGTTCATTTAGCAAAATTTCACATGCTTAAGTTTTTTAAATTTAAATATAATAAGTAGTTCAGGTGGGTAGCTGCATCAGCATGCGTAGGCTGCAAAGGAACAAGCAATAGGTTTATTCCATGCTGAAAAAAAAGAAGAAAGAGAACACAACGTTTCGGCCGTGGAGCCTTCTGTATGACACACCTGAAGAAGGCTCCACAGCCAAAACGTTGTGTTCTCTTTCTTCTTTTTTTCAGCATGGAATAAACCTATTACTTGTTCCCATATAATAAGTAGACTTTGTATAATAATAGTCAAGAAATTATGCCCCTAGTTTTTTTCAAGACTAACATATGAGCTAATGTTAAGTTAGTTTGTCATACAAGTGGTCATGTTTCTCTCTCTGAAAATGACAGATTTGTGTTATTATTTTTGATATATAACACTGGGGGATTCTAACTGAAAAGTTAGAAGGTGGGATAGACTGCAGGTGTTCAGGCGCTGGTACCACAGCAGGTGAGTTAGTTCCCCAGCAGGGTCTAGTGGGCAAGTACTGCCTGCAC